AACATCACACTGCAGAGAACACACAAGGCTATTTACAGCCCAGAAGAAGTGCAAACATACAGATCACACGAAAAGCCAAAATAGGATAAGGAAGAACACGCTCTGCAAAGTCATTGCAAACACATCTGGGCGCCTGGAATTCGCATTTGTCTTCTACTCATTCACGTGTTTAAATATTTATCTCTCCACAGGCTGGAATCTCAAGAAAGAATGTCTTCTTTATAGTTGAATCCTAAACGCCTACAAACTTTGGAGAACTAAGCAGTGCCCGGAAAGGCATAGTACTCTCATGGAACATGACAGACTACTGCTTTTCACTTCTCCGTCCCTTCACCGACCTTTCTGAGGAATTAAAAGAAAAAAAAATGGTTTCTATATTTAGAAGTAAAACTTAAAACCAGCATGAAATAATAGGGACCTTCCATTCTTAGGAAATACTTTCTAAAACGAGAATCACGTTGGCATCAGTGTGTTAAGTGAGTTCTCAGGTAGTTTTCTGGGCTATTAGTGAGTGTGCATAAGACAAATTATAAAGCAAAAATGTGCTTCATCACTTACAATCATTAACTACATCTTTAATGGTAAATAAAGTCAATGTGTGGTAAAAATGGGAATCTGTGATGGTTAACTTTAATTATCACCCAGACACAATCTAGAATGACTAGGAAGACAGTCTCCATGAGAAATGGTCTTGATTAAGCTGGTTAGTGGGCATGCCTGTCTGGGATTGTCTCAGTTGGGTTGACGTGGGAAGAACCATCCAGGCTGTAGGTGGCACTATACTATGGGCTGGACCCGGACTAAATAAAACAGAGCAAAGGGAAACATGCATGCCAGCATGCATTCAGTTTGCCTCTGTTCGTGGTTGTGGATGTTTCTAGTTGCTTTAAGCTCCTGCTGCCTTGACTGCAGTGATGAGCTATAATCTCCAAGTGTGAGCCGAATAAAGTTTTCTCTCTCACAATTGCTGTCAGGTTATCTTATCACAAGAGGAAATGGAAGTAGGATGGGCTCTAAGAATGACTTCGGCATATCATTACAGAATCCTCAAAACACAAGGCTGGGCACTGGGTGAGTGTCAGAAACGACCAAAGAAGTTACAAGACGTCATCTTCACCAACACGAAGATTATCCGCATGTTCAAAGACACTTCACTATTTTTGTGTTGTGACAATTCTATAACCAAAATTAGATGAGCAAAATGTAATACTTTAATACAAAAATATTTATATGCTACATAAAATGTAACACTTTCCTTTAATATAAAATATATTCTATCTTTATAAACTAAACTCTCATTTCAGTTGAGCAAAGGTTTTTTTGCAGAAACCAGGTGCTGTCCAAGCGTTTTCAGTTAAGTGCAAGGCATTAGCAACTGACAAACACTGCACTTTATACAACTTGTTAGTGGTGAGACAAAGGCCCGTGCTATACAAGTTTAAGCAAATACTTAAAGTTCAATAATCTTAATATTTTTTTAACCTGTCAAGGTAGCCCCGCTGCCCCGTGCCCCCAGCTTCCTAGGATCAACCACGGCCCGCGCTCAGAGCCCGCCCCCGGAACGCGTCCAACGTCGCCGTGACGTCATCTGCCCCCGCCGCTACCTGCGGTGGCCGGGGCGTCCTCTGAGATCCTGTCCGGCCCTGGGTCGCCTCGGCAGGCAGGGAGTGCGGAGGGAAGAGCAGAAGGCCAGAAGGGAGGACAGGGCGCGCGAGGCAAGGGCTAAGGAGTCACCAGAACAGGCGGCGGTGGCCACAGGCGCGCTACGGAAGAACCAAGCGTTGCTAGTAACCGGCCCGCGGCTTCTCTGGAAACGGACGCCCCGCCCCTCCGTCGGGCGGCTCCCACGTAGTTGATTGGCCAGGGCGCTAGAGCGCGGCGCCATTCCTGCTGTGATTGGCGGGAGCGAGAGGGCGTGGCCGGCGGGGCGCTTTGTTTCTGCGCTGGTTTCTCTGGTGAGGCTTTTGAAAGCTTTTACCTTGAGAAAAAGCATAGCATTGTGTATAGTTCCCGAAAGTCTCAACCGCTGTCATCCTGGTGGGGAAGAAAGGTCCGTTCCTAGTCTCCTGACACTGGATCGAAAAATGCCCTCTCTGCTTTTGCTTTTCTGCAGGAGAAATTTGAAAAAGGCCAAGATAAGGTGACTAAAAACCTCATTTCCGGTGTATGGCATTGTCTCTGGGCGTCAGAGGTTTCCCTCTTCATTCTCCAAAATGCCTTCCAGGTCCCGAATGACTTATATAAAGCTGCTATACATCCTAAACTGCGAAACCAGCAAAACAAGATCTTAGTGAAGAAAGAGGAGAATCTGGTAGTGCATTTAAAAAAATGATATTTCATTTTCTTGTGATTGTATTGGTGGTTTCGGGCAAGATCTCGTGTAGTCCAGGCTAGCTTCATACTGTCTATGCAGCCTAGGGTGACTTTGAAACCCTGGTCCTTATGCTTCCAATCCAGGACTGAGATTGTAAGCATGTGCCATCATGCCAAACAAATAGAAAGTTGTGGACTCTATTACTATGTAACCGAAACAAAAAAGTAATAAACAGAAACTCTTTTAGCCCTCAGAAGACCTAAGTTTCCCTTAATAGTATTCCACACACTGTATTGACGATATAAGATTATAAACCAAGGTTTTGCACATAACGAAGCTGCGAGGCCAGCATAGTTTTTCTTTCAAAAGCCAATAGTAATGGTTTAGATTTTCCAGGTCATATTGTCTTTGTTAAAGTACTTAATTCCACGTTGTTGCAAAACAGAAGCCACAGAGAAATAGAGACCCATAAACATATGAATGCAGCTGTGCTTCCATCAAATTTTATTAAAAATGGTAAGTAGTGGCCTGGATTTGGCCAGCAGGTTTTGGTGGGTAGACTGCTGATCTAAAACGTAAGCTACACAAGTGTCTAGTAAGTGCTGAACTCATTGGCCGTGCATTGGGATAGGCCACATCAGTACATCCCATTGGCTGTTCCCTCATGGATAGATCTGTAAGAGCAACAAATAGGATAGAGATAATTGATGACTGCACATCATATTTTGGCAAGATAGAAAAGACAGATTAAAGAACAATTTGGCAGTGACATAAATTGTCTCCAAAAATTGTTTTCAAGTAATTCCCTTAATCCCTAAACACACAAAAATGGAGTCTGTTTACCTTATTTGGAAATTTACCAGGAGTAAGGGTTTTCCTAAATTGTAAAACCCTTATTTTGGTCATGTTCAGTGTTGGTCTCTTGAGCCCTGCCTTTATAGAGAGAGACAGCCCATGTACACGAATTAAAAACCCGCTTTAATCAATTTGGCCATGATGATTTGGGATTAACAGTTTTATGAGATATTTTGTTTAGAATGTGGCATAAGTGGTCTTGCGAGTTATTTTTTTTCTCTTAGAAATTAATTAGAAACTAAAAATAACTAGAAAAGCAAAATATAACCAAATTTTCTTAGTCACTCTGATAAGGTGCCAGACATGTAAATCCCAGAGTTTCAAGGCCCTGTGTTGGGTCCAGATGTGAGCACAATATGAGGGACCCTGGCCAGCAATAAAACTTAAAGTAAAGCCAGGTGAAATGACTGTGGTTTAGAGGTGATAACACAGTATGTCTCAGGCCTCTTAGCCCCGGAAAACTCACCAAGGTAAGGGCTCTGGGTTTTCCTAGGGTTCTCACAGAACAGATCTACATCACGGTTACTGGATAGAGTGGACTGTGAGTAGGTATTCAGCCAAGTATAACAAAGTAGCATAGGCTGTTTAAACAACAGAAACTTGTTTATCACATTTCTGGAATCTCAGAAGTCCAAAACCAAGAATCAACCAATTTGGCTGCTAATGAGGTTTCTATTCCTAGTGCTTGTAGATGGATGGATGCTTCTTGCTTTATTCTCACTTGTATCGAGAGAAGTAGCAAAAGCTCACCTGTCTTCTATAAGGGCACTGATCTCATCGTGAGGACTCTTCCGTAATCTAATCAAAGGCCTCACCTCAAAGTGCCAGTACACTGAGGTTTAGTGCAGATGAAAGGAAAAAACATTTTGCACAGCAGTTGGGTGCTCGCTACTGCTTGTTGAAGAGTTGACCTTCACTGAAGGCAACTCTACAGGGCTTATCTAAGTGTGGGAAACAATGATTTTATTATTGTCCCTCACTGAGACTTCCCAGGCTATTCAAGATGGTGTCATGTTGACAATTAAAACTAGCTATCACAGGATCACCGTACTGCCTAATTGTTACACCTTTTACACAAGAGGCATTGAGGTATTTAGTTACTTAACAAGTTCCACAGCTACTAGCAGGCACAGACGTGATTTCCATCTGGGTAGGTGAACTTCACAGCCCAATTTCTTATTTGTTTAACCACTGTGTTTACATGAGTATGACTGTACAAGTATGACTGTAGGTAAATGCCAAAAGAAGATTTTGTAACTGAAAGCAGAAAAAGTGGAAGTTTTTAACATATTTAAGATTCTGGAATTTCAATATTTTGACTTTATCACCTGCCTAGTAACATTTAATCTACAATCTACAATGCACATTTCATTGCTATGATCTATGTTATAACAATCCAAGAATAGGTAAGACATGAATGTCATATAGTGACTTTTAGGATGCAAAAACTCATTCTTTTACCCTTGACTGATAAAAGACAAAATGGTCCTTGAGAAAAGCCCCCTCCCTGATTAGTCAGTTGTCCAAAAACAATACTTAAAAATGAAACTAATATTTAATAGTATGTTTTAAATATTTTAACTTGATCAAAATATATCTGCCACTGTCCTTTTTTAGTTGTAGTATTTAATAATCAACTATAGCAGCATATTAAAGAATTAATCGATCTATATTTTCTACTTTTGTAATTACTAGAATTCCTATTCAAATGTTGCTTTTTTCTAATAACCTTAATTGTGTGTGTGTGTGTGTGTGTGTGTGTGTGTACGCATTCAGACAGAACAAGGTCATGATGCACTGGTGGAGGCAGAGGACAGACTCCAGAAAAGGGTTCTCACCTTGCACTTTGCCGAGGTAGGGCCTCCCCTGATGTTTCCATTGGCCAGCATGCTCCACTTGCCACCTCCCCGGCCCAATCCTGTTATAGTCTAGTGAAGAGACAATTAAAACCATCTGTGATACATGATACGCGCTAAGAAGTTATCTTCAAAGTTGTTCTCTTAGGGAACAGAAAAAGACAGAAGATACTTCAAGAAGACGCAGAAAGGACTGCTGCATCACGAGGAATAAAGAAAAGTGATGGATGTCACAGCCCAAACTCCGATAATCAGAGTAGTAGGTTATCCATGAAAACGGAGAAAGGTAAAGGAAGAGAAGTAAAGCGGATCGCGCGGAGTGCCAGAGTCTGTGGGATACAGGGAGAATGCTGGGACCTCGGGTGTAATCAGTTAGAAGAAAAAGGTTTGCGCTCACCAGCCACAGTAGGAAGAAAGGTGAAGTAGTTACTGTTTCGCATCAGGTTCAGAAGGGGAGAAATAGAAATGAGCGGCCTGAGCTTTGAAGCGCCGCCGCTGGAAGGGAAGAAGCCACCCACCCTAGGATCCCATTTGCCTTTCCTGCCAATCCAGAGCAAAAATACAACAAAACCGAAGGCGCATACAGAGATGGTGTGTGTTTATATAAGACACCCCAAACATGGAGGTTAAAAAGCAACAAATGAGTTATTTTTACTTTGGGCCAGAATGTTTGCAACCTTTAACTTTAACATAGCAATCATGTCTCAATAGAAAGGGAAAAGGAAAATTTCTAGAAATATAAAATTATTTTTTAAAAAAACACCTCAAAAGTACAAAAAACTGGGATCAAAACTGTGTTCTGAGCTCTGATCACCTCCACTGCCTCAGTTACATTCCGCAGTGACTCCCAGCTGGACTCCGCTTCCATCCTTGCATGGGCTTCTGCCCATTTTCCATGCAGTAGCCCGAGTGGTCCTGACAAGGGAGCAGCACGAAGTCAGTGTTAGCTTCAGGGCCACAGCTGCTTTCCCATACCGTGAACTGCACTCTAAGGTGCTGACCTCACACCACCTGTGCCTTCAAGGTTTCTCCTGCCGCTGCTGCGTCTTCTATCCTTGAGACCTCTCAGATGTGTGATGTGCTCATCACGTTCTGGCACTCCGGAAACCAACAGGAAAGTTTGCTTTGAAACAGAGGGTGACATCAACTACTAGCCTACCGA